CCCCCAAAAACCAACTGAAGGTGCTTGGTGGAACATGGGCATGAATCCAGCCTGCATGGGTCAAGCTCATGCTGCAGAAAAGTCTGTCAGTTTTCTTGTAATAAGCAGGCCTAAATAAATTCCAGATAACACCAGATGTTTAGTCCAGACATCTCATTGGATTCAGCCCATTTGGAATCCAAACTCAAGCAAATTCAAGTGATTTTATTAACAATGTATTTAGAGTATGTCTCATAGTAGTCTGCTGGCAGATCCTTCTGCTTGTCCCTTCCCAAAAGGTCGATCTAACAGAGTTGCTGGACCGCATTCTCTTGATGCAGTAAATGGAAGGAACAATTACACTTTACCATTCTTATTGCCTGAGTAAAGGCTTGAATGTGGGGCATCTCAGAATTGGTGAACAGGAGAGGCTGCTCAGGAGCAATCAGATCCAACACCATAGTCTTTCTGAATTCCAGAGATTGACCAGCCTGAATTCCAGAGACTGACTATGGTAGAACTGCCTGCTAAATTACTGAGAAAATCTTGAAGTGCTTGTTGGAAACCAGGCAGATCCATTATGTTTGTAGGGTGGGCCATATTAACTGAGGACCCTACCTTGTGAAGGTCACAGGTAGTAATGAGCCATATATTAACCCAGAAGGGATGGGCCACAGTAAAGCGCTAAATACTGTATTATTATAATGAGGGAAATTAAATAGTTACTTGAATTCAGAACACTCCTGCTTTAGTGATTTCAGGTCAGTTTTGCAATGTTAATAACTGTAAACAGGACTTTGTTACCTTGTTTAAAGTCAAGTGAAATAATTATGTGCAGAGTTAGAGAAATATCAAGAATTTGATCAACTAAGCAAGCTGTCTTTTATTCTACAATTGCAGGGCTGAGATCAAGAAATTAGATTTTTTCCCCCCAAAGTAAAATATACCTTTATTGCAAAACATTTTAATATAGCTGTAATACTCTCAATGGCAAGCAGAGTCATGGGTGGAGTGGGGGTGGGGGGTTAGTGTGTGGTGGGAACAGCTGAGCCTACCATCAACATACTTGACTGTGGCATAAAACCACTGTATCAAGTTCCGTTATGCAAGTTATGCTGGAAATAGTAACGCCTGCCTGCCTTTGTGCCATGAAGCTGACACTAGAGAAAAGTTTTGGAGAACTTTGCTTGTTCTCCTTTGGACAGCAAGATATCTGTGTAAAATCCAAAATTCGGCTTTTGTTTTTCAGCAAATGCTAGCAGGCCATTTTGCCACTTCTAAACTCACTAAGATGGGGTTCTTAACATCTGAGGGACCATGGAGCCCTAGAATGTGAAAAGAATTTGTTTGATTCCCAAAGAATAAATCTAACGATTTAATTGGAATTATGGTGGGCAAGAGAGCTTCCATGGCTGAGGATGCCCGTGAACTGGATCTCCTCATTCCTGGCTTGACACCTGAACCACTACACCACAGTGGCTCTCAATCATTTCTACCTCCTTACGGGTCTAAAATGAAGGCTGGAGGGTGAGAATTCTGCCTAAAATTGTGCTGACCCTCCTTCACAGTGGCACATACATGAAAAGTGGTTGTGTATGTTTCAGAGAGTTTCAAAAGATCGGTGTGAAGATGCGCTGCCCTCTCCTTTGCTATTAAATCAGAGAAGAGATTGGGAGGCCCAGTCTTCCCTAGAGAAGAGGATAAGGATTGTTTCTACAGATGCCTAGTGGTTCAGCATTTCTACCCACAATTCCCCTCTCTCTCTCTCCCCCATTCCAGAGATTAAATAGGAAAATTGAGACCCATCTCACTTGCAGATAAAATAGTAAACCTTTGCCTATTGTTTAACTAGTGAGTGTTATTTGATTGGGTCAAGTAAAAAGAGCCTATGTCTAAATACTAGATTTAATGCTAATTAATGATATATTTTATTCTGATCCAGGGAACAAATACTTTCAAATCTTTGACAACTGACAGAAAAGATAAAATGTCTATATAGACTTAAGTATTGTCTTAATCAATACAAGCCTGCAGTTAAAATAAATAAATGCATTTGATAAGTGGGAGCAGTGGAGAAACTGTTCAACATTTAATGTTCAAGAGAAAACTTTGGTGCATAATAAATGTCATAAGCATTTTTCTATCTTGCTTTTCAACATGTAATTAATGTTCACCACTGTATGATCACATTAACCCTGTAATTCCCCTGTTCTCCTCCTGACCATCCCCCCAAAGGATATTGCATTTTTAGTCTATTGTATTGCCAGAGGTCTGTTGCACTGCCAGACTATAATTGCAGGGAGAAACTAATAAATATCCGGCCTATTTGAGAGTAGGGAGCTACAGAATGAGTCAACCTGCTGAAACTGTTTTGTTGAATTACCACATGATGATCACTGGCAAGGATATTTTCAGTGAATCCTGTAATGTATACTCTATTCTCTGACTCCATAAAAGATTCAACACAGACTTGAAAAATTGAATAAATAGCAAGATTCCTATTGCTATGTCCATCCCTAACTATTAGCTGTAATTTGGAGATGATTTAAAGGGATTTACAATTGTTGAGTTGTAATGTTTGCAAAAGATTGTGTGAGCTTTTACTAATACGCTATTTTATTCATCAAGACTATGTAACATTAACTGGAATAATGTAATTTTGGGCTTTATTTGAAACAAAACTCTGCCTAATCAAGGTAGCTCATGAAGCTATACCTGGAGATTTTTTAGTCTGTTTTTTTTTAAGAGGAAGACAATCTTTTTGATTTTGTGAACTTTTCCTGTTTGTGCTGCAGCTGTGCCAGTAGAAATGACTGAACATCTGTTGAAATTACTTTCCCTTTTGAGATAGCTGGCCTTGCATTGCTTCAGTTATCAAAAAGGAAGCCTCTTGCCATTCCTTCTTTGTTTTTGCCTCTCAGATTATTTGTGGAATTCTTTGCCCCAAAGAGTTCCAGTGAGGTTCATTAGGTATGCACAGAAATGTCCTTTCTGAAGATGGATGTTCAGAGGAACTTGGGAATGTATAGATCTTCCTCAGGACTGTGTATTATCTGGGGTGGTCTTACAGTTATCTGGGACTAATCTTCCAGAACAGGAAGTAGTTCATGTTGTTCTGGACAGGGTTTGTCTCAGAAACCTTCCTTTGGCCATCTGCCAAACGCTCAGGGAAGACTTCCAGAATCCTCCAGTAACTAATTTCCAAGCAAAACTGAGTCTGCCAAAACGCTCAGGGAAGTCTTCCAGAATCCTCCAGTAACTAACTTCCAAGTACAACTGAGCGGAACCAATTAGTAGGGAAATAAAATTCATTCACACCCTGATCTTGTTGCAAGCTGATTTCTTCTTACAGTCCTTTGATACTTCCAGATGTAGCTGAAGATCTCTTGTCACCCTCACAGGTGAAAAACATTCTTTGTTATGCTCAGTGAGATTAAGAGCCTTGAGTAGGTGTCATTGGGACCTCTGCTATGTCAGAAGATAAGCTATCTCTCTCTTTTAGTTTATGATTTCTTATACAGAGTGGAACAAATGGCTCTTAGAAATAATTCAGATTGTAGTAACAAGATTAAAAGTAAAATATCCGTTTATCAGATGCAACAACATCTATCAATAATATTTAGAAGTTTCATATGAATAATATAACCTTAAAGTTCAAGTATGACAGTAATTTCAATAATTCATTTTAAACTTATGGCTTCTCTTGCTTTAGAATTTTTTTAAAAAGAGAATAGAATAAGACTTCAACAACATGATTTCTATGTATTTTCAGCCATTTCAGAGTCCAACATCTACACAACCTGTTATCCAGTAACCACAGTAGACTTCAATACATTTTCAGATCTTGCTGCATGTGCAATAGGCTGCTTTAATCGTTTTATTTTGAATTTACAGCACTTATAATATACCCCAATCTTATGGATTCTGGACAAGGCAAAACATCAGACAAAAAGAAATAACTAAATCCCAGTCAACATCAGAAACAGAAAGTCAACTACAAAAGAAAAGCCAAGATAAAACCAAAGATCGGCACCCACTATCAGTGAGTTGGATCCTTCAATAGGTTGAAGTAAAACTGCTTTAACTTGTTTATGGAAATGAAGTAAGGTAGGGACTGGATGTGCTTCTGAGAGGAGAATATTCCATCAGAGAAGACCTGCCACATCAACCTTGTTTCCTGAATGGAGGAAATTTCTGTAGGCCCTTTCTCAATGACTCGATTAGATGGGCAAAATCATTTCTGGCAATCTTGATAAGTAACTTGACTTAGCTTGAACTGGTTTATTTGTAAATCTGTTTATAAGTCTCTTCTGGCATGCTTAGTACCAAAACTGAACACAGCACAATTGTACAAATGGTTTTCTTAAAAAAAAAAAAAAAAAACCCTCCATGTGAGCATATTGGGACTTTGGTTTGAGAATAAGAAGCATGAAGCCATTCTTGCTGTATTTCCAGCTCAGATTGAAGCCCTGCAGTTATTCTTTATACTGTGGTATAAGAAGCTCCTGTTTGCTCTATGCAGGTGCAAACTTTCCTTCTGATCAAAACCTCAGCAGGGAGCAAAGGCTTAAAACCCTCTATTCCTTGGATTAGGTTGCAGTCCAGGTTGGGTCCTCTGTACCTATAATTTATTTACCAAATATCAATTTCATAATTGCTTGTTAATTATGTGAATGCTGTTTCATCTAGTTTGGCTTTTCAGACACTTGACTGAGATAATCATCTTGTTTCATAACGAACTGGACGGTCAAATTTTTCTTCTATCTGATTGCACGCTTGAGACATAAAATTATACCATCAAAAGGAACTTTGGAAGCCATTTAGTCCAACACACTGTCCAGAGTAGGAATTCCCAGACCGTCTCAGACAAATGGCTGTTGAACTCTACTTGAAGCTCTCCAATGATGGAGTATCCTTGACTCCAGGAGATAGGCTGTTCTACTGCTTAATAGCTTTCACAGTCAGGAATTTACTCCTTATTTCGAATTTGGATCTCCTATGTAAAGCTTCTTTCCATAGGTTCTTGTCCTACTCTCAAAAGCTATGGAGAATAGATCCACATCCTCTTCCCTGTGACTGCCTTCAAATATTGGAAGGCTGCTGTCATATCTTCTGTTATCCTTTTCTTCTTTTGGCTAAAGTTACCCAGTTTAAATTCTTCATAGGATTTAGCCTTCAAGCCCCTTGGAGTTTGTTTAGTGCATGCTCTTTATTTGATTAAGGATTCACCACTGTATTGATATCAGTGTTTTGAAAGTGTTGAAGTTGTGGTTGCTTTGGTGTGGAGTGTCACAAAAAACTATGATAGGAAAAAAAAATAAAACGTTTAAGACTTCCCCCCTCTTTAGGTTAGTACTTTCCTGTTTTCCTGTAATGAACATGAATGAAATATTTGTGTTGGATAGGAATAAATCGAATGGGGAAGAGAGGTGAGTGAATTTTTAGTTGATTAATGCTCATGGCAGCATTTGAATGTCAGAAAGAAACCCTATACAATGACTAAACATTTAGTATCATGCGTGAAAATAAAGGTAGAATAACTTGATCAAAAACCTGCAAAAATGATGAAGGGACATGGTGTAGAACTAGTCCATGTTAATTTCTGGCATACTTAAATTTATTGTTTCTAGAAAACTGCATCGTATTTTATTACCTTTGAAGTTGTTCTCTTTGAGTGCATCACCACAAGAAACCCCTTTCCAACATAGGTGTCTTTTTATCCTAAACATATTTCTGATATCTATGACCTATGTGATTTGGTAAAACTTATTCACTGTTGATTACAGTAACTTGTAAGTAACTTGCCTCAAAAACTGGCAACACCTAGTTGCCCTTGGTTGATCTCATAAGTTAAGCAGGATCAGTCCTGATTTGTACATGGATGGAGACCATCTGGGAATTTCAAGGCTGTTGGCTGGACTGGGAAATAGGAAAAAAATCCCATATAACAATACAAACCAATTCCAATACAATTATTAGGAGTACTGTAAGCTGATTTGATGGTATCTTTACTTTTTTTAAATTGTTTGGCATTTGGTAAAATTAGCATTTTCAGTTTAGAATACTGTATATCTTCTGTTAAATGCAAAATCTGCATCTTTATCCAAAAGAAGGTTTTGGGACATGAGATCTTTCTTATAATAAAAGATTATAAAATGTATGCAGTAAAATCAGACATTATATGAACCATAATGTTATTAAAGCTTTTTATCTTTTTAAGCTGTTCCACTTGTAAAGTAGTTCCAGGTCCCTACTGTTAAAAATAATATTAAGATCCTTATGCATAGTTTGGAGATTCTTGTACTTCCATGAATTTTTTCCATGCGATTATATTCATAGGCTCTTATTTAGCGATATTTAGTGTTTTCTGTCATTTAGGAGAGGAAGCTGTGACTTATAAAAACATGGTGAATCTCCTTAAAAAGTCTGAATAGTTAATTAATTTTTATAGTTTAGAAGGAAATAACATTTAAATGTAAATTATGACTGCCTGAATATCAATGAGAGATGATACATTTTATGCCTCTGAGGCTGCCTTTATTTTGCTTACTTATACAATTATTTTTCAAAGGGGATGTACAATTTAAAACCATAGCATAACATTGATGCAAAAGGACAAACCTAATGGAGGAATTACAGAATCAAAAATGATTTTACCCCTTTCTCATAGCAGATGAATCTTTATGGTCAGGAGGCCTGCAGGGGATTATATTATTTTCAATATAACAGACTGTCATCCTCTAGTAAGGTGATGATGGCAGCTGACAACAACCTGTAGAAGTGTGTTGTAGAACAGTGTTTTTTAAAGTGTGGTCCTGGGACTCTGGGGGTCCCCCAAGACCCTCTCAGGGGTCCGTGAAGTCAAAATTATTTGCCAGCCTATGTTGAAAAATAATACAATATTAAAATCCCATCAAACAATCATGAGAAGCAGTAATGGCAGCAAATGCATCAATTTTAATTTTTAATACAGTAAATATTGATAAATATAACCCATACAAATAAAAGTTCTTTTGGGGTCCTCCATAATTTTTAAAAGTGGGAAGGGGTCCTAGAGAAAAAACTTTAAGAAACACTGTTGTAGACAGAAAACCTATTACATCATTGCTGATACTGGACAATTAAGCTTCCATAAAGACCTTGTAATGTGGAAGAAAGGAATGTTATAAATAATGTATCTGAGACTGTCAACTGTTCTCTCTCTCTGGGTTTTCCCTCAGTTTAAATAAAAATAAATGAACTGCAGCAAAGGATTACATTGCTATTCCTTGAGTTATTAATACATAGATTATTTTTAAAGCCATATCTCTCAAGTAACACTTCTAATAGACCACAGTACTTTGTTGAAAAAACACTCAGTTGTTAGGGTTGTGGCACGTAACTTTGTACTTTGAAGCACAATTTTTATAGACCATGTCATCATTGTTTGAAGTGGGCACAGTGTAATGTGTTGATGACTGTAAAACTACTGAAGCTCTTTAACTGGTAGAATATTTATTTCCATAGTGTTGTTGGGTCAGTATCTTAAGACAGATAGTTGATGATCTCAGATACATTATTTATAACACTGCTCACAAGAACAGTTCCTGGGGATGATTGAAACAGCCATTTGGAAACTAAGAGCTCTTATAATCAGCAGGATGCTACCCACCAATTTCATTTTAGGGCCTTAATTAGGCAGCTGGTAAATCCAGTGATTTCACTACAAGTGTGGATTTCCCTCTCTAACCCTCTCCCCCAATAAAAACATCCCTAACATCCGTCCTTTCCCAGTCCTTTCTTCCCAGACTTTGTGTATTGGAGTATTTATGCTGACTTCTAAAAATTAATTTGACAATGCAGAAAGGCTTCTCATTTGTAGTTGCATATTCTAGCCACTCAGCAACAAAATGGAGATGGTAATGTCTTGTCTATTTCTACAACATAGTATAACATTAATCTATTATTTGGAATATGTTTTCTAAAAACATTCACGGTACAACATCTATGTGGTGGGTAGCAGCCCGTAGGTCAGGAATTTCTGCCCAGTTAGTAACTAATATTCTTACTATTGTTTGGGAAACTTTCTCTCTCTTCTTCTGAAAATTCCAAGTACTGTCCTATTACAGGGAACTCCAAACTTGATGGCTGTGTGTACATATGTAGTTTGCATGTGTATAATTCTTTTGCATTATTTTGATAGCCTGGCGAAAGGATTTGTTTTAAATGTTTGTGCTCATGCAGTACCCTGGAAAAGTATTTCATTTACAGGTGGATAACTCAAATGTATACATGTGTGAATGAGGACACACATACATTGCTCTTTCCTTTCCATTTGGATGAAAAATTACAATACGAAACATATATTACTCCCACTGTAATAAAATCATATCTCTGACTTCTGCAAAAGATCTGTCTCATGATGCACTGTTTGAATGTAAATGATTTGGCATACACTTTGCCAGAGAGCCTTTTTTCCATGCAGTCAGGTTCTCTTAATACTCAGAAGACCTTCTTTAAACTGTCTGTCACTCCTAATAATCAGAGAGAGGTGGTTTTGCAAATAATCTGTTCCTGAGCTTCAGAGGTGAAAACCAGCCGCTTCAATTGTGCTTGGATTCCTACTGAGGGCCAGTGCAGCTTGCAAAGCGGTGGTAGTCAGTCAGTCATTTTATTTTGGTTATCGACCAGCAAAGCTAATCTTTGAAAAAAAAAAGTTACATTTAACTCAGTGAATATCAGTGCAGCCTATACAGCATAGAAATTGACTTTACCAAGCTATACCAGTGTTTCTCAGCCTTGGCAACTTTAAGATATCTGGACTTCAAATCCCAGAATTCCCCGGCTGGAGAATTCTGGGAGTTGAAGTCCAGACATCTTAAAGTTGCCAGGGTTGGGTTGCACACCGAGCTATGCAGTCATATAACAATATGCAAAACAGTGGTATTATCTAGGCATGCTGTGGCATGCCTGTAACAATCCACACCGCTGCATTCTGGGCCAGTTGCAACTTCTGGAGGATTTTAAAGAGCAGCCCCATGTAGAGTGCATTGAAGTAGTTCA